CAGACTGTTGCTTTCATGTATATTTTGTGATCCCTGAGGAGCTCAATGCAGAGTTCTCAGGAGACACTGGACTGGGAGTTGTGGCATGAGCAGCACAGAGGATCGTGTCCAATGAGAGGTCTAGGGACCAGTGGAGGAGCACATTTGGAGGGTAGCTTTCAACATTGATTGTAGGCACCTTCTAATATTTCTGTATAGACAGCAAATGAATGTATAGTTGAAACAGAATCAGGGATAGGACACCAAGCTGAAGCTCTAGGTGGGAGTTTACTGGTTTATGATGCTGGTGGGGTATGGTGGGTGCCATGGAGTATGAGGAGGGCCTGAATTGTAGCCTGAGCAAGATCTCAGAGGAGGAAGAGGTAACGCAGAATGGTTTTGGGTGTACTGAGAATAAGGTTGGGAGAAGCAGGGTGAGGACCACAAACTGCTAGTTGGAGAGTCAGATAAGCACACTTCATTCTCCCTGGTATGCACAACTCCCACACAGCATGCAAGGGCAGGGGTGTCCAGAAATCACATTTAGCCTTTCATCCTTTAGTTAGCACTGAAGGATGTAGAAGAAGATGGGAGAGATGGTAAGCAACATCTTCCTGGGCTGCCTCAGCTTCTATAAAGCATGGGTCTTTGAAATGGGAGGGAGAATCGAGCAGGTGCATGCTGTTTAGGGAATGAAATAACAAGACAGGAGGCAGACATGTTGCTCTGGTGCACATGCTCTAATACCGTGGGAGGAGGAGCCACTTGCTTTCTCCTAACATACCCACCATGGACGTCTTCCCTCAACTCTAGCTCATCTGTGTGCAGGGAGGGATGGCCACAGAGGATGCAGACCATTCCACCCCCAGTTCATGGTCTGGGCCTGCTTGTTATATACAAGCCATACTGGAGAGATGGCTCAGTGGTTCACTGACTTATATAGCAGTCAGTGAAGCAGCCCTAAGTGTTGTTGATGGCTCTGCTTCTTAGAAAGTTCCTGCTTTTGGCAACTTGAGATAGATTTCCCTCATTTTAACTTGGAAGCCTATTCCTGGTCCTTTTAGATGCCTGCACATTTACTCATGATCTACTTTTCCCTTCCTTGGCCTTGGCCTTCTTCAAGCTGAACAACCCTGAAGTATTGCAGTCTTACATGTCTGAGCCTTTTCTCCTGCATGCATGCTGACTTGGCTTCTTCCTTTCTGGTCTGGCCAGCTGCAGACTGGTCTGATATGAGTGCCCCTTAGCTCGCTCTTATGGGCCTCCCCTGATGCTAACCTTGCACATGGTCTAATGTAAAGGCTTAGCCTCCCAGACTGGCTCAACCAGGCTTCTGTGCAGCTATGACCAGACCATCTCCTATCTCCTTCCCCTGTGTTCCTGACCTATCCCTGCATGTCTGGAAGGTATTTCTCTGCAGTATAAAGACATAGGTTACAGGAGGGCCTCCTCCCTTGATTTTTATGCCTTCACTTCTATGGAATGCTGATTCTTTTACTTATGTACATGGAGATAAGTGTGCAATAATTTTAAATGCTTGGGGTTTTTTTTGTAAACAAAAATAAAAAACTAAAGGTGACATCAGGGCTTATATTAATTTATTCTGGGACTGGAGAGTTGGCTCAGTGGTTAAGAGCACTGACTGCTTTTGCAGAGGACCTGGGTTCGATTCCCAGCACCACATGGTGGCTAACAACCATTCGAAATGCCAGTCTCAAGGGATCTGACAACCTCTTCTGTCCTCTTTGAGCACTGCACAACATGGGTGCACTTACATACGTGCAAGAAATACACTCATACACATAAAATTATATATATATATACTAATTTATTCTTTGGATCAAAAATTTTAGGGGCTAGTGAGGTAGGCTCAGCAGTTAAGAGCACTGACTGCACTGATCCGGGTTGGGTTCCCAGGACCCCCATGGAGGCTAACAACCATCTATAACTCCAGTTCCAGGGAATCTGACATCCTCTTCTGACCTCCTCAGGCATTGCATGCACAAGTGGACTTACATACATGCAGGCAGGATGCTCATTTATTTACACACAAATTAAAAAAAAATTCAAGCTCTGTTTTAGCATAACCCTGGAACATGATGTATCAGTGCTTGTCTGTATTAGAGAATTTAAAATTTTTTAGTTTTCATTTACTTTTGTGTGTGGTGTATGTGCGTGAGGCGCATACACATGATGTGTAGGTACATGCACCTATATGTGCATGTGTGGGGTCGCCAGATTATGATATAAATTGTCTTCCTCTATTGTTCCTTACCCTACTATCTTGAGACAAAGTTTCTCACTGAACCAGGAATTCACCATTTCAGCTAGGCTGGATGGCTGACTACCAAGCTCTCAGCATCTGCCTGTTTCTGCTCCCTAATGTGGAGGTTACAGGCATGAGTAGCCATACCTGGCTTTTTCTGTGGGTTGCTGGGTATTGAACCCAGGTCTTCATGCTTGCAGAGCAAGAGTTCTTACCCAACTGAGCCATCTCTCAGGCCCAGAACATTGGTAATGCTTACTATTCTATGTTTTGTTTAATGCATTATCTCCTTGGTGATAACAGAAGATAACAGAATAAGATAACAAGATAACAGAAGAATCTTTGTTAGGTTGGGCTAGGAACAGGGACAGGACTGTGATGATTGCAGTTCAAAGTTATTCTAGTTTAACCCCATTCCTTTTTAACAGGTATCTTAGTTTAATATAGAGCAAAAGCTGGGCAGCTCTGTGGGCATTGTGAGTCATTGGAGATGGGTCACAGAGCTGTGCTTTGGGGTTTCGAGGAGAAAATTCAGGGAACATGTCAAAGGCAATTATGCCTACGGTTTTTCTGTACATTCCTGAAGCAGTCTTTAAGACTTAACAAATATTTTCAAGTTATAAAAATAACTCTTACAGTAATTAAACATCTTCATTCTTTTTCTGCTGTCTTTGATCTGCTGCCTTTGCTAACAAATGCCTCCCTCTAGCCCCTCATTAGTAAAAGGAAAGAATGGGAAAGTAGTAGGGTTGTTTTCACTCTGGGTCTGATGTCTCTCCAGAGATGTCACTCTTGTCACAGAGAAGGGGGATCTGGGTTCTCCTCAGCTGCTGCACAGAGCATGGAAAACAAGAACCAATTTAGATGAAGGCACATGGGCTCTAGAGGCAAGTCCTGAATGGTTAGTCATTTGTGCAGCCTCCAGGAAAATGCAAATGAGTACATTCAGTGACACAGGACTGATGTATGAGAAAACAATGACTTGTTCTATGGAGACACAGAACGTGTTTGAGGCCATCAAGTATAATGTGATTTTAGAAAATATTCTAAAAAAATCTTTGTTTTGTGGAACTGGAGAGGTGGCTCTGGTTCTTGGGACTAGAGCAAGATGGCTCAGCAGTTAAAAGCATACACTACTCTTGCATAGGGACCCACATTCTGTTCCCACCACCCATGTGGGGCAGCTCACAACCACTTATAACTCTACCTCCAAGGGATCTCATGCCTTCCTTTGGCCTCTGTGGATACCTACATACACATTTCATACATTCACACAGACAAGAACATACACACAAAAAGTAAAAATAAATTTTCAAAAAACCTCTTTGATTTTATGCTGTAATACCATTTTATTTGTTCAGAGAAAAGTTTGTGCTCCTTAGGAAGTTTTTAAGTTTGGTATGACTAAAAGAATGACACAGAAGTGATCATCTTCATCTGAAAGTGGTGGCTGTAAGTGATGAGTCCAGTCTTTCATTTTATTATTAAGAAGTTAGGTAGAGGGCTGGAGAGATGGCTCAGCAGTTAACAACACTAGTTGTTCTTGCAGAAGACCTGGGTCCAAATCCCAGCACCCGCATGGTGGCTGTCTGTAACTCCAGTCCCAGGGGATCCAACAGCCTCTTCTGACCTCCGAGGGCATTGCACAACATGGGTGCACTTACCTACATGCAGGCAATGCATGCATACACAAAAAACAAAAATAATAAATAAAAATTTTTAAAAAGTTAGGTAGAAAAGTTAGCTACAAGAAATTATAAGCTAGACTTTTTACAGTAAGTTAAATTGCAGTATTTGGGCATGGCTGAATTTTATAACATTCTTTGGTCCACATCTGACTGTGATTCAGAATCACCTGAGAATACACCTTTAACAGCTGTAGTGACTGTTACCTCACACACAGAGGAGAGCTGGTAGACTTGTTGCTTGTATGCAAGTACATGCATGTGTGGTGTGTCTGCATGTGTGCCCTGCAAGCACACATGCCAGGCTCATCTTTCCCAGCTGCTGTGCCACAGTTTCCTTTGTTCATGACAAAGATGGAAGCTGTGCCAAGATTTCTGGTTAGTAAAAGCTAGGATCAAAGTCCTGTTGTGGCAGTTCAGAGCTGAGAGCTGCAGGCCCTCAGAGATGAGAACTCCAGATAGATGACAGCTTCTAAGGCTCCTGGATGTTCATCAAATGGGAGAAAGCGAGCAGCAATCTGTGCTCCTCTCAGCCTTTTGTGGGCTGTGCCTTAGCTCTTGGGAACTGTGTGGTTGGTGCAGTGTGGCTAGTGTTGCATTCAAGACTGCTTTCACTCTGACTTGGGTTGCTTAGGAAGCACCCTGATAGCTTGGCTGTGGAACTTGGCTTTTGGGGGCGGGGCACTAGAGATGGCCTGCGTTACTTGACTGTAGGCTGGGTAAGAGGTGGTGATCATGGGCTGTACTTCCCCTGCCCAGTGCTGTTCAGATCTGAGGTGGGAGAAGCCCTATCTCCGAAAACGCTGAATTTGGGAGCTTAGGCTTGGTTTGTTTCCATTTTAGAAAACAAGATGTGGAAGCCATAGCCTCCGGAACTACATGTTAAATCTGAGTTCCTAAAGGTTTCTAAGAAGTAAAATCAGTGGTATGGGTATCTGAGGGGGTGAAGACACTTGGGGCCTCCCTCAGCTGACCCCAGGGATATCTTGGTGATATGGCATTCTCTTCACAGTTTTTAGAAATTATTTTCCTCCCATTCTGATGAAACAGCCAGACGAAATCCGTTTGGAATGCCTGGGGTGGTGCCACCATATGTTCCCCCTCAGATGCTCGACATTCCATGGACTTCTCTGCAATCAAAGCCTGCAGTAAGGCATCCCAGTAGGCCAGTGGGGCTGTGCCTCGAATGCGAACTTCTTTAAATTCTTGGGTTGATATATGAGATAAATATCGGTGTCAAATAAAAATCACTCAAGGGGTGGCAGCCAGCTCAGGCTTGCCTTGGGCCCTACCAGCCTTGTGTACTGACTTGTGCTCTGTGCCTCAGGTCCCACAGGTGCCCAGCCCAGGGAGCACCCCGGGCCAGGGTCCATACCCGTACAGCCTCCCTGAGCCGGCCCTCAACCTGAACCCAGGTGGGAAGAATCTGACAAAGCAGAACAGCTACAGCAACATTCCTCATGACGAGAAACACAAACCTCTGTATGAGCGCTCCTCACCCATCAACCCGGCCCAGAGTGGTAGCCCCAATCATGTGGATTCTGCCTACTTCCCTGGCTCTTCTACCTCGTCCTCATCGGACAATGATGAGGGCAGTGGAGGAGCAACCAAGTGAGTATGCCCCATTTCACAGAGTGCTCTGGTGCTGTGACCTGGGGGTACTCTCTAGCTATAGCTACTTGGGTGTTTTATCCTGGAGGCATCTGTCTCAGGTAAGTACTATGCCTAGGAGAGGTCTGCTCAGTGCTAAGTTTCACTGTCTTAGCTCCGTGGCCAGAGATCCTAAGAACCTGGGAGGGTTTGACAAGAACTAGTTTGTGTAATGCCTCAAGTATGGGGTTCATGTGGGGTGGTAGCACTGGCCCTATTTACACTGACCCTCATGTTCTCTGACCCTGCCAGTCACCATACAGCACTAACCTTGAGGCCTCCTGGGAGAAAGGAGCCCTGAATTTCCCCCCCTTCTTTAAACTAAGCAGCCCATAGGCCCATTCTTGAAATAACATTGTTTGCTTAGCCAAAAGCATGGAAAGCTTCCTGGACCCATGTCAGAATTCTTCCCAGAGAGTATGAAATTCACAGATACAGTTACAGATACACTGGAGTGAGGAGATCTGGAATGTAGCCACCTCTGTCCCTCAAAGTATTCTGTTTCAAGGAAGAATAAGGCAGTACCTTTCCTTTGTGTCTGTGTCTCCTTTCCTTAGTTTGAGCTCCACTTTATGGGATAGATAACCAGTGCTGCTTATTACTTCATGGGTGCTTAGCATGGCTGGTAGGTGCTATATCCACTTTTGCTCTTGAACATGAGAAATTAGAGAGCTGTAGTTTCCAACATTCATGCAGGTTTTGCTGGTGTCTACCTGCAAAATGAGAGCAGATGCCTGCTGACCCAGGACAGTGCTTTCTGCATCTGCACACCCTGTCTGGAGCAGAAAAGTGTAAAGTTAGTAAGTGTTCATTGACTATATGTGGAAAATTTCAAGATGAAGTTAAGAATTGTTATTTAGCAAGCATACTTTTAAATTAACTGTTTAGCATGATGATAGGTTTATGATCTTTTGAACCAAAATCTCTGGGATGCCACCTAGAAATCTGCATTTCAAGCAAGCACCCTGTGAATCTCCAAATCTGAAGGTGACTGCCAGGTGGTTAAGAAGCTCTCTCTGCTCTAGAATTCTGAGACAGAGTTCACCTCTATCAGCAAACTCAAGATATCTATATAATGCAATGTAGATTGATTTTGATAAGGAACATTTTTTCTAAATTATGAAACACTGGCAGAAGGCAAAAGAAGTAAGCTTTGTACTCTGAGGGCTTTTTAGTGACAGAGTTATAGAAACCAGGTCTGGGTAGTTGCTTCGACAGGGTGGATGGATGGTGACCACTGAATGTGGAAGCTGTCTTCTCCCTAGGGTGACATTCAGAAGACAGGGTGCTGCTCAGTATGAGAGCTAATGTTAGAATACTTTCCTTCTTCCTGTGGTTTCAACTCCTTTCAGTGGTTCTAGGTGGCTTTTCATAGGCCCCCAGGAACTGCTCTTTCTTGAAATTCCCGTCACCTTTGTACCAGTTATTGCATCTTTGCTATTTTCTGAAAATGAATCTTTTTTTCTGCCAGTGGAATGTGAAATTCTCAATCTGTCAGTTAGTGTTTTGCCATTGTTGTTGCAAGTATCCTGCAGGAAACTCAGCACAACCTCAAATCAAGGCTGGACTTGAGTTGTGTGGTTCAGGGATTTAATTTCCTTGAATCACTTTTCATATTTATGACAATAAATATGAGATTGTGTTGGGAATGTGAGGATGGAAGGCAGAGGAGGTAAGGTGCTTGTTTCTGAAGTCTTGGAGTCAAAGCTTTGCTGTGGCAGGTGCTATGATATAGTTTTGGTTTATGTTATATGGCTGGGTCCAAGGAGATGGTGTTCACAGTTCTCAGTGAGGATCCTAAGCTGATGAGTGAACTGGATGTACAATGTCAAGAGACTGAGCAGGAGGATCTTTCAAGCCTAAGAGTTTAGGCCCCCCGTGGATAGCATAATACAACCTTGTGTCAAAAAATAAAAACACCAGTGTGGTGTTTCATACCTGGAATCCCAGCACTTAGGAAGCTGAGGCAGGAGGATTGTTATGGGTTTGAGACCAGCTTGGATTACAGTGTCTCAGACCAGCCTGGGCTACAAACCAAGATTCTGTTTCCAAAATCTCAGGCAAAACAGTAACAAAAACAACAAATAAGAACAGTTAGTAGGAAAAATAAATGATGATTTTACCTTTGGTGTTCGACTTGAATTAGGACCATGGATCTACACTATGCTTTTAAGATAGTCTTGAGTGGAAGTAAGTTATCTAGTCACTTAGCCAATAAATGCTTGAGCACTTGTTATTTACCAGTGGATCGGGCAGAAGAGGCTGTGCTCTGATGGTGTACTGTGATGGAGAGCAGTCTATAAACAGTGAGTATGGTCCCAAATGATGACCATGTAGGGAAGTCTGCTAGAGAGGCAAGGACAGATATGAAGAGCTAGTCCAATGGCCTGGTCTATAGAGCCTGGCCTTGCAGAGCTGAGTCTCTTCTCAGTGCCACAGGAATTTTCCATGAGTATATTCGTGTAGAAAAAAACTATTATTTCTTTTTCTTTTTCTAAAAATATTTTATTTATTACTTTTATTTTATGTGTATGGGTATATTGCCTGCATGTATGTGAATGCACTCGTGTCGTGCAATGCCGTGGAGGTCAGAAGAGGGCATTGGATTCCCCTGGAACTGGAGTTAAGGTTGGTTCGTAGCCGCCATGTGGGTGCTGGGAATCAAACCTGGGTCCTCTGCAAGAGCAGTCAGTGCTCTTAACCACCAAACCATCTCTCCAGCCCCTTCTTTTTCTTTTTAAAAGATTTTATTATTATTAGCCAGGTGTGGTGGCACATGCCCTTTAATCCCAGCAGAGGAAAAAGGTTTAAAAAAAAGATTTTATTATTATTTTATGGGTATGGATAAAATACCATGCCTCCATGTATGTAAGTGTGCCATGTACATGTGTGGTATCTGTGGAGGCCAGAAGAAGGCATCAGATCCTCTGGAATAGAGTCAAGGACACCATGTGGGTGCTGGGAACTGAACCCCAGGGCTTTGGAAGAGCAGTAAGTGCTCTTAACCACTGAGCCATCTCTCCAGCCCCAAGACCTGCTGTTTCTTTAGAAGGGATTTTCCTTGCTTCTTGGTGCCATTTGCCCTTGAGATGGAAAGTGCTCTGAGCATTTTTATAAATTTATTTTTATTTTATGTGTATAAGTGTTATGCCTGCATGTATGTAAGTGTCATGCGGTACCTGAGGAGGACAGAAGAAGTTGTAGGATCTCTTGGAAATGGAATTACACCATGTGGGTGCTGGAATTTGAATCCAGGTCCTCTTCAAGAGCAGCCAATGCTCTTAACTGCTGAGCCATCTCTCAGCCCCTCCAGTTCCTAATTTAGAAACATTTGCTTCAGTACATGTTGCATGATACCACAGGGAGCAGGAGCCAGATTCAGGTGTGGGATGATCTACAAAGTTAATTGGTTTAGTCCCCCAACCTTAAATCAGTGGCATTAAAAATCTTTTACTTATTATCTTCATTTTATGTTTGTGTGTATTGCATACATGTAGGTAAGTGCACCCCTGTCGTGCAATGCCCGCGGAGGACAAAAGAGGCTGTCGGATCTCCTGGAGCTGGAGTTACAGACAGTTGTTAGCTGCCATTTGGGTGCTGGGATTTGAACCTGGATCTTCTGCAAGAACAGTCAGTGTTCTTAACTGCTGAGCCATCTCTCCAGCCCAGCAGTGGCATTTTAAAAAAGGGTGTTAGTGATGGATGATGAAGTACTGTTACAGAAGAATCAAAAAATAAGTAAAAGCTTTCTACAAATGATAAGATAAATGTTTTCAATAGCCAAAGACAGGACTGGAGTGATAGCTCAGTGATTGAGAGCACTGGCTGCTCTTGGAGAAGACCAGGATTCAATCCCCAGTACCTACATGACAGCTAACAACCGTCTGTAACTCCAGTTCCAGAGGAATCTGGTGCTGTCTTTGGACCGCCATGGGCATTGCATGATACAGGTGCATTTACACACACACACACACACACACACACACACACACACACACGCACGCACGCAATAACTTATACACACAAAATAAAAATAATAAAATATTTTAAAAAGCAAACAATAAGGGACTAGAGAGATGGCTCAGTGGGTAAGAGTGCTTCCTGCCCAGGAGGCTCACAATTGCCTGAAACTCCATCTCCAGGAGATCCATTGCCTTCTGGCCTCTGGATACCAGCACTCATGTGGCACACATGCACAGATATACATACATGCATATGAAAGTAATAACAATAAAATATTTTAAGTGGCAATGATACACATGTGTAGACTGGTGGAAATTCCAATATTACTAAATATATAAAAGGAAGGTCACCCCCCCTAAAGAGATGAAAGGAATGCAGCTTAAAATCTATGAAAACCATCAAGTATTTGTTCTTAAACTGGAGAGGGTGGAGATTCTCCTGGAAAATCCTCCCCATCCCCACCCCCTCAGGCTGACCCATGTTCTTGCCCACAGCATTGCAAGGGCTGTTTCCTAGAGATGTGCTCTGTACAGGAAGGTGGGGCCATCTGCACAGGAAACATCACTTGTGCTTCAGAGATGTCCCGAGGAACTACAGTTACCCAAGGGTCTACAGAAGGAGTATAGATAATCCTAGCTAACCCCTGGACAGGTGTGCAGGCCGTGCTGCCAGACTTGTGGATGGCATGCACTGGGCAGGCCCTGTGCTTTACTCTTTCATTGCCCTTTATTTGTTTAATGCTTGCCTAGCATTTTGGTTTCTCCAATTTGGTGAATAGCGAGGTAGCTCTGTCCCACCTCTCTGTTGGAGTGAAAACCCTGACAGTTGAACTGCAGCATGAGTGGCAACCAGACGTGTTTTTCCAGCAAAGATTAGAGGTGAACTGCATGGGCGTGCAGGTGAAAAGCCTAGATCTGGGTTTAATTAGTAATTTCCTCAGAAACCTGTTCTCCTCAGAAACCTGTTCTCTCTAACAGTGTTTGTGGGAGAAAACAGGCCTGT